CAGTGCGAGAGGTTAAACCAATTCCCCGACACCAATATGGGTTAGCTCTCTAAGATAGGAGGATAAACTTTACACTTCAAATATCCAGACGTGGATGAGCCTGGCTGCCCTAGTGTAACTAGATGCACGATGGCTTGTGCCGGGATTCCTAGAAGTAGCCACAATGGTCTTTTTCAAGGCTTAGCTAACTGAAGGATTTTGGGTCTCTTGGCCTAATCCGCGGGGAACCGGGCCCTAGAGACGGAGGGGGCACATTACGCAGTACGCCCTATAGACGACTGCCCTGGAACCCTAAAGCTGCTACCGAGTGCACTAAGGTAGCCTACGGATTCCGGAAGACTGCCTACGGCTTGCCTTTCGAGCAGTAAAGCAGCGCTAGACTTTATACAACCACACATTCTTATGAAAGGTTAAACAAGCTAGCGCGCATATACGAAGTTTTATCCACTGCCAACATGCTACGTAGTCAATAAGCTTCACTTCTGCCAAGCGCGGAACAACCTACACCAAGTCCTAAAATGTTGTGATACTTGCTACGCAACCTACGGAATTGAAGAAAGTCAAGGTTAACAGCCTAGTGGTTACGCGGACTTGTCTGCTTCTGTAAGTAAGGCATCCGGCTGCCAACCCTATGGCTAACAACTTTGCAAAGTTCTACACCAACACCTACGGCTGCATAGGCTACGCGAGCTTGTCTGCTTATAAAAAAGTAGCATGCATGCCACTGGTCTATCAAGTCTAAAGGTTAGGGCATGAACAAAAGAAGCGAAGATGAAGAAAAACGAAGGAAAACATGTTTATAAATAACTAGCAAAGGCCGAATGAGTTCAAGCAAAACAAGAGCTACAAGGAAAAACAAAGAAAATCCTAAAGGCTACCTAGAATACTACACTACAACAGCTTGGACATCCTACGACTACTCGGTCGCCATACCTTCAGCAGCCGTAACGCTCTTAGCAACGGCATCATCCGGCGCTTCACCCCCGGCTGCCCCAGCCTGGGCATTAACTTCTCCAACTACTTCACCAATGGAAGCCTTTAAAGTAAAAGCAAGCAAGTCTTCTAGAGAAATAGATAAGGTCTTAAAACCTCAAAGCCCATCATTCTCACCCTTCAGCTGCTCATTCTTCTTAAGCAGACTAACACGGACGTGCTGTAGCTCATCCACTCCCTTCTTTGCATAAACAGGCGAATCAGTCTCAGCAGCTAAGGAATGGGCCTTGGCGCCACTTTAGCAGTAGAGTCCACCTTATCGCTTTTCATAATAGCAATCCTCTCCAAAGGTGAACTGGACTTAGCTCCCAACAGACGTCTTGGTACAAAATTCGGCACTAAGGGCATGACAAGACCTTTATGCCGAACAATCCTATCAGCAATCGTACTAGCCATTCTTGACATGGCAGTTAAAGTACCCAATGTCATTCTTGACATGGCAGGCGCCACATGCTCAGATCTAGCAGCCTCATTTTTCGTCCTCTTGGAAAAAGTCAAGTCAATCACAAGCCTGGAGGTAGTCGGCGAACCAGCTCGAGCAGCGAAAGAAATCTTTGGTTTTTTCTCAGCCGGCATCTCTTGAGCAAGCAGAGAATATCCATTTTCCCACCTTCAGTTGCAGCGGGATCCACAACGGTGATTGGACGAGCCAGTGCATCCACTTTGATCCTATTCACCTCCTCTTTTGGGAGCAGCCCACGTTTCTCCTGACGAAAAAAGTTAAAGTAGCCAATGTCATTCGTGGTACCTAGCAGGGAAGTTCAACTCAACATTCTAGCAGCTCATGAGGACCGCAACCTCTTCATTTCTCTCAATCACCGGTCTAGCTCGCGTCATGTCCAAAAGCCTAAAAGGACATAAGCCATGTGACTTGCCTAGCACTGCGCCCTAGTGCCACAATCCGAGGCCCCAGCCACACAAGCTGCCCTTAGTTCTAGCCAAGTCGAGCAACTTAAAGCAGTGGTCCCTGCCATAATACCTCATCGGCCCATGCCGAGTCGACTCCTGGCCCATGCCAGCCGACGTGCCGCACCATCCCGACGGCTGCCCCGCGGTAGCACCATCCACGAAGAAGACGAAGAAATCAACGAAAGACGGTCCTTTGCACGGGCAAGATGTAGAAGATTGCTAGAGGAGGGGGAACAAATATCCTCTAAGCCATCTCTTTCTTGTAGGGTAGAATAAATCGCTCTCCAAAGTTGATTTAATAACCCACTTAAGGTGGATTTAAATAGGCTTTGAGAGAAATTTATTTCCCTTTCCTAGAAGGATCTAATTTCCTATTAAAGAGAGAATATACATCAAAATAGGAAGCAGTCTTAAGTTTCCTAAAGCAAGAAGATCTCTACACCTGCTGCCCTTTTCTGCGAGCAGCCCAACAGGTGTGGGGGCATTTGTGGAGCCAAAAATATTCACTAGGTGACACGTGGACTTTTGGACAAAAGAGGACAAAAATACCCTCGAGGCATACCGGGTTTCCTACACGCGAGCAGTGGAGAATCATCCATCAACGAAGTCAGGAGTACCCAAAATGGGTAACAATTCAAAACCTATTTCATTCCATATATGTTTTTACCTCATTTTTTCCTTATTCAATTAGTCATTTATTTCAAACATTCCATAACATCCTCAACCAATTAATATAATCAATATATTAAAGGCTAATTACATCACCAAATTAAGCCCAAAAATCACCCTAAAGGCCGGTTATCCCTTCTCCAAAGGGAGCTGGCCATTTCCTTCTTTTTTCACCATAATTTTCCTTTTTTGTGACATTGATTAGCCAATTATACAAAAAACCACCAAAACATTCATTTTATGTTTAATAGCCAAACAAATTGGCTAATTAAACCTAAATCAAACCCAAAAAACCCTAGCCACCTCCTATCCCTATAAATATACTCTCATTTCTCACCAAAAAGCCAATTCCAACACTTTGGCAAAAATCCCAAAATTCTCTAAACACTCTCTCTCTAAATTCTAACTTTGGCATCAGAGGTTCTTCGGCCAAAGCCCCCCCCATTCATCGTGGGCGCGTGAGGCTTTTGGCCTTAACCTAAGGTGCTAGTTGTTTTGTAGGTGCAAAATCATCCAAGATCGAAGAGGAAAAAATTTGCATCCACAGAATCTCTTTAGCGTTTCTCTAATATGTTTTAATGATTGACACCCATCATGCAGTACTCTACGTTGATATCCCGCAAATACGAGATCATTGAAGTTCCCTCCATAAATTGTTAAACATATTGCAATGTATTATGTGACACATGTTCATATAGCATTGAAGACACTGAGGATTATGATATGATGGTCCCAAACCTAAACTACAACGAGAACAAGTATCCATCTTGGCTATCCCGAAAAAAGATAAACCAATCAGTTTGACATATGTACCCCACAACCGTCGGATTAATAATTGATCTGTGAATCCTGTTATAGATGATTGGTAAGATAACCACCATGAAAGTTTTCATAAGAATAGGCATGCAGTACCGGACCGGCACCAGATAGATCATGGGATCGTAGGGTATAGATTGAGCATGCAAAGAGTCGAGATGAAGTTGAAAAGCTCATGATGATATACTATGGATATTTCGAATATTGAGATTAATTATTACTTGCAACCCAACCCACATCAAAATCATGCACGAATCACGAGGATTGGCGTTTTAATTGATCCAAAGCCTTCAAGCCCCTTCCCCACGGACCAGGATCCTCTCCTGAGCTAAGGATGAGGATCCTCCTCATCAATTGGTATGGGCCGTTGGATGAAAATTCAACGGTTACAAACAGGAGGTCATTTTAAAGTTATAATAATTGTAGCCGTTAGATTTTCATCTAACGGCCCACATCCCTTGATGAGGAGGATCCTTATCCTTAGCTTAGGAGAGGATCCTGGTCCCTTCCCCACAAGGGAAAAAGATAAGTGATCAATAACAGTATTATAGTAATAAATACTAATTAATTGGAGGACTTCTTAAATAATAATATAATAATTATACATGCAATAAAATTTCATAATCGAAGTTGTTCAATATTTTAATTTTCATTTGAAGATCACTCGTACAAAAATCATTTCAATCAAAAATCATTTAATCATTCAAATATATTGTGGATGTACCAATTAACATATTTATGATAAACCGTTTATTTGTTTGATATGTTTGGATGATTAAACTATCCCAAATTTAAATGATTTTTTTTGTAGGATTGATTTTCAAATAAAGATTAATAAATTAAACGGTTCTGTTGTTAATTTTATTCAATTAAGATATGTTATATATTCATAAATAGGGGAATGCAAATATTATCCTCTTATATCATTCTACGTGTTATGATACGAAAGAGCGACAATGCTAATGCATGATATATGAATAAAGTAAATACACATATTATAGTATGAGTAAAACAATAAAATTATGTAAATGTGTTCCAAGTATACGGATTACGGAACAATCTCTCTACAATACAATACAATACAATACACACGGCATAGAGGGGGGGGGGGGTAAAAATTAGGGTTTTTCGGTGCCACCACTATACCCCCATTGAATGCCCTACGGTTTTGTGAGAGGCTCTCCGCATGGAGAGCGAGAGAGAGAGAGAAAAAAATGGATAATGAGTGAAGCAGTCTAAGCATGGCTGACTTTTTGCAAGGGAAAGCAGTGAGTAAATGCTGTTTTGCTGTCCATTTTGACTCCTTTTTTACTTGCTTTGGTCAGCTCTCAGCACTCAGCCCTCACCAGGGCCTTCTGTCTTCTCTTCTCTCTCTCTCTCTCTCCTCTCTCCTCTCTTCTCTCCTCTCTTCTCTATATATATCTAGCTATCTATCTACAAGACAAGCCCAACTTACCTGCCTTGGACACTTGTTTTTGCAATCCTTCATCAGTTCAGAGAAGAAAAAAGAGAAAAAAAGAGGCAAGTAACCCTCTCTCTTCAGTTTGTCTCGGAGAATTGCCAAAAGAAGAATAAACCCTTTTTTTTTTTTCGCAACTGCCTGCAATCTTCTTGTGAGATCAATTTCTTCATCCGTTAGAGCTACCTAGTGGGAATTAGATTAATTGGAAATTATGGGAAGGCCACCTTGCTGTGACAAAGTTGGTGTGAAGAAGGGCCCGTGGACTCCAGAGGAAGACATCATCTTGGTCTCTTACATTCAAGAACATGGTCCTGGGAATTGGAGATCAGTCCAACTAACACTGGTAATTAAAATTTTCTATATTATTATTACCTTAATTTTTTTAATTAAATTTGAGCTAAGCTACTTTGAATACTCAATTTGTAATTTCATATCTATTCTTGGTAAACGATTTATACTCGCTTCTGTTTATTTCTGTCAATTGATTATTCTTTGCTTTGTTAAAAACCAAAAATAAACAGAGTGTGCATGCGGAGAAAGGTATGAAGCAATAATTTCCCATTTTAATTCTTTCTTCGTTTATATTGTAGAACAGTACCATCCTGCATCTTGTGTATGTATATATATGTGGTACAGTTTTTTACCTCTCTCGTTTTGGTAATAACTGGTTTCAGATTGGGGTTGGTTTAATCATTAAAGTCATGTAATTATGACCTAGTACTGGTTTTTCCTTCTCGGAACAAGTACTATTACTGCAGATGCGTGTTCTGATCATATTGATTATTGACAGTAATTTTATTTTGGTCGGAATATTGGCAGTAATTTTTAATTAATTACTTCTTTTTTTTCAGGTTTGCTGAGATGCAGTAAGAGTTGCAGACTTAGATGGACTAATTATCTCCGCCCGGGTATCAAACGCGGTAACTTCACTGATCATGAGGAGAAGATGATAATCCACCTCCAAGCTCTTCTGGGCAATAGGTAACACTTCCCCTCATCTCTACGTTTTTATTTTTGTATTTTGTCTTTTGTTTTTTTAGTGAAAAACTTGAAATAAAACATTACATAGAGGATCCTCTTGGGATTCTATTACTTGACAAGTGAAATCTTAATCTAGAAATTATTACATCTGGAAAATTACTAAACCAAATAGCTTTCACCTCCATATCTACTTATTCCCATGTTTTTTTCTTCCAAATTTGAATTTATATTTTTATATGTTTGGGGCATGAATTTTATGAATTTGACTTGATTAAAGTATTTTTAATTTATTATATCTTTTGTTTTTTGATATGGGGGTTAGATACTCTCAAATCCCAATAGTGAAGTTCTTTATATTGTTGTTTGATGACATATTATATATTATGGGATTGGAGAAGAATATATGGAAGTGAATTCCTTAATTTTCGTTTTTTAAATGAGAGTAAATTAAAAGGAGAATAATTGGTTTTATTGTTTTGTAATTCCTTAAATTGGATGATGAAATTTTTAATGGGTGCAGATGGGCAGCCATAGCTTCATATCTTCCTCAGAGAACAGACAACGACATAAAAAATTACTGGAACACCCACTTGAAAAAGAAGCTGAAAAAGCTTCAGACAGGACTTGATGGTCATGACCATCACAACCACCAGGATGGTAATTCACATGATCAGCCAATCTCCAAGGGTCAATGGGAGAGAAGGCTTCAGACTGATATCCACATGGCCAAGCAAGCTCTTTGTGAGGCTCTCTCCATTGACAAACCAAATGTTATTAGTACCACTACTGTTTCTCATGACCTTCACTTGCAAGACTTGAAGCCCTCCATTAATATAGGTAATTACAATATTAATGATAACCCTAGCACTAGCACAAGGCCACATCATACCTCCACGTATGCATCCAATACCGAAAACATTGCGAAATTGCTCGAAAACTGGATGAAAAATTCGCCAAAGGTTTCCGCTCATCAAACAAACTCGGATCAGACCAATGCTGATCAGACCAATTCCTTCAACAACAACAACAACAACGACAACGACAACAAAGGTGGCGCTACTGCAACTACTAGAGGTCGTTCAATGAGCACTTCTAGTGAAGGGGCGCACAGCGCAACCACCACGCCGGATCAGGCTTTCGATTCGTTGTTCAGCTTCAACTCATCCCCATCGGATGTGTCTCAGTCCATGTCAGTGGATGAGAACAATGCAAATTTCATAGCAGATCAGGCAAGCTGTCTGTTTCAGGATGAGAGCAAGCCCAATTTGGAGGGACAAGTCCCTCTCTCATTGCTGGAGAAGTGGCTCCTTGACGATGCTGCACCTCATGCCCACGAAGACCTAATCAACATATCATTGGAGAATGGTGCAGGCTTGTTTTGAAAAAAAAAACAAAAAAAAAACAAGATCAAGTACTATAAATAGGGTTTCTTTTGTTTAAAACAAAAGATGATCGAGTACTTAATTAGGGTTTCTTTTGTTTAATTTCTTTGGAATTAGGCTTTTGAGCTTTGTAGCTAGCTAGCCATCCTTGTAGTACTCCTTTTATTTTGTCAACTAGCCTAAGCAGAAAGATAACACCACCTTAATCAAAAAACAGAAAAGTGTAAATTAATTAAAGTATATCCATACTTACGTATCTGCTTTTGCTCTGGAGAATAATGAATCAAGCTGTTTAATTTCATGTTCTTGTGGACCTTGTTGGTAGGTAAAAGTTGTGTATATCTATTTATTTCTCTCTCGTTTAGTCGTTTTTACATATCTATTGTGCAGAAAGTATGGGAATATCATAAGTTTGGCTTCCCCTCGATCTATAGGGAAAAAGCTTAATTCCACAGACCATGAAATTAGGGTAATTCATGAAGTGAATGATAATGTACGGTTTAGTACTAGGGTTTCACGATTATATTAGTGTCGGCAGGAGAAATAAATTTTGCTGTGAATGGTAGGTTCAATATTAATAATCGCATTAATTTTGTTTAAACTTGTTTGTCTAGTTCTAAAAAAAAAAAAAAAGTATAGCCTGTGTAGCTGTACAGTAATTAGCATTTATACCATATCTATTTTCACTAGATCGTGTGCCTGTATTCTCTCGGATTAAATATTCTGTAAACCATCAGATAATTAACCTTGTACTATACATGTGTACTATTACGTAAGTGTTGATTAACATACTTATTTCTTATTGATGACACATCATTTAATTTACAAATTTAATCTACTTAGCATTAATCATATTATATTCCTAAGAACAGAATCTGTATTCATATCCTTTCTAGAAAGAGAAATCGCTTCATACCTCGGATTTTAAAGATTACATTTCCCTCAAAGAAGTGCTAACCAGTAATCACAATTAAGCTAGTAATTAGCCTCCGACAAGTCAGAATTCCAGTGCATGAATGATTTTCCTAAGTACGGTATAACTTTTGAACTAGTTTCTTCTCAATTACAAGCCATTTTGAGGCAAACCCTAATTAGATGGTTTTCTTCCCAAACCTAATACATTGCCAATCGGCTCTATCGGTGTCGACGGTCTTATCTCTCATTGTCAAAATTCTCATTCTCATAATTAAGAGTGGGTTCTGATGAGTGAGACGACATAGGAAAATCTAAAGCCAAGAATTGCCTTGGAAATATGCAAAATGAAGGCCTTAAATGCAAAACATGTGAACGGTTTGACTATTTAAATTTAAATTATTATTTTTATACAACAATATTTGATTCAAAATGAGAGGGTATAATTTATTCTAGTTAAGAGAGAGAGGGACTAGGCTAAGCCACTAGTTAATTTTGGCATCGAATTCAATACAAATATTACACGTTATTGTCATTCATATAAGTTGAATATGAGATTTTTCATTTATAAGTAAAGAGAAATAATACATGTTGGTTCATCTTATTATTTTAGTTGTTTGGTTCATCTTATTATTTTAGTTGGACTTGCTTGACCACCAGTCAAAACTTTGACGTAAACTAAACTGTAAAGTAAAAGCATTGGATTTGGAGGATCGATGCCGCAAATGCATTATATATGCACAAGTCTCTCATGAACAGTGCTTTATCCTCCTTCCCTTTTGAATTGGCATCGCATTTACAGCCGAAATTTATTGAATCACTGCACAGCTTGCACACAGATTCACAGACTAGCAGCTGCATGTCTCTGCGATCCTCAGTAATGTCTTCAACTTCAGAGCTACAAATTGAATTAGTGACTTACTGCTAGGCCTAATTTTTGAAAGAAATCCAACCTCCAATTCAAAGGAAGGAGGAAGCTTCGTTTGAGACACAGACATTAAAGTAGTGCATATGCATGGACCGTGGGAGAGTAATGGATTTTTAAGCCAAAGTCATGAGAGCACATGTTTCTCGCCAGAGTGACAACCAAGCTTAGCCTCATTTAAATACTCTTGAGTACATTGATTACTCATTGATTACTCACTTAAGTAGACAATTATTAGTTATAACTAGGCCCATCACAAGTGGAGTGTCATAGACTCAAATTATCGGTTGTTTCGGAGTGACTGCGGCAAGCCGTTAATGCAAATTAAAGTTTATAGACATCAAGGGTTTACAATTATTCACGCTCACTTGTGCAGGTGAACTTTGCATTTCTTCCAATGACAATTATCTCACTAAAGACTTCCCTATCGCATAATAATATAAAGAAAAGAAGTGGGGCAGAGAAATTAAACAATTCTTTGATTTTTCTCTACCAAATAGACCGATTAGTTGGACACAACCATGTGCATCTTTAGACAAAGGAGTTTTGCTATCCCAACTCAAAACCTGATTAAGTAAATCATGTGGTACATACAAGTTTTGCACAAGTAGATCGATCTCAACATGACACAACTAAGGTGGCTTGGTCCCGTGGGAAATGGGGACCATTGCCTTATCTCACAGTATTCTTATGTAAGTAGGGTTTCTTCTGAGCTTTCAAATTCTTCTGTTTCATCACCATTAAAATGGCCAGCAAACTTATAAATCATATTCAACTCATGATATGCAGCTAGACTGGAAGTGGCCACAATTAATTCCATCACTAAAAGTTGAAAAATCAAAGAAGAAAAATCGCACTTAATATTATTTGCTATTCTTTTACTCATTTTATATTTTTGAACTGATCCATATCATGTTACGTGGATTAATTTACAGAACTTGTGCAGTGTATGCTTATAAAAAAAACATGTTTTCATTGTTCTTTGAATTACTTCTTGCCTGCCAGTTAGGTGTGTGGGATTAGGAGAAAAACTAAGAGTTGTAAATTGACTTTTGCTCCATGTTTAGTGACTATGATTACACTAGATTGGATAACTCACAAAGTTTAATGTATGTTCAAGTAAGAAACAAAGGTTAACTTTTAAGTTTTGTCCGAATTGAAAGTAGGCAGTGCAACCGTACAATTTTGTGAGGTTAGTGGTGGATTGTCCTAGTGATTACATTCATCTAGTTCCTTCTTCTTGAACACTTGAACACATAATCATAGTCTCTAGAAAGTGATGAATTGCTCTCATTGTTAGGACATTCACCTTTAATCCACTTGGTCCCGAGTTTAAACTGCCGCCTTCCCGTAGAGTGAAGTAGTGTGAGATATCGTGGGACATAGTACGTACAAAGCATCTTTGGATTGGTATTTGTGGGGATATCGTGGTAAATAGAACATACAAAGCATATTTGGATGGGTATTTGTGGGTATGACTCACACCCAAAAAGGTAATTAGGCCCGACAAATCCCAGGGATTCGGCTAAGCCCAAATCATGGTCGATATCTAGCCATCTCGGTCCACACTTAACCCTAACTTGTCCATCCATGTCTCTTCCAAACCCTAAAATCAAAGGTTTCTTCTTTCTATTTTACACAAAAAAAAAAAAAAAAAACTTGGTCAATTACTTCCGGCAATTTTCCGGCGACTAAACAACAGAGCACAAAGATAGCGAAGAAAACAGAGAGGAGTAGTGTAAATATCTCTCGGAAAGCCAAAGCACTGTTTGCACGTGAGCAGTAGGAAGGCGAAGAGCAAGGCGCAGCCACGGTACGGTACGTTGATGCATATAGATACAATTCTGTCATATTTTCTCTCTTTTGGGCTTCAGCCACACCCATGTATCCTTGTAAACTGTAATAAGTAATAACTTATTCAATTAAAAAAATCAAATGGGTATTTAGAACGTAGTAAATGTAGCTTTTTCAGTATAAATCTTATGCCTTGGTATTTTACTTGTTCCACATTTTCAGCCTCCCCCCATTTCGAATCCTAGCTCTGCCCTTGTATATAATGTTACCAAAATGTGATAATGCTCGATATCATGTAGTAAACAAAACAGTTTCTTATGTTCGTGCGAATTTTTATGGAACTAGGGACATAGATTAGACGCAGTTTGAATTTTTCCGTGAAAATCATTATAACTCTACTTCTGTTAAATGGACTGTTGCTTTGGATGATAAAAAAGTGCCCTGATATCGCTTTTGTATCGTTTTATAAATACCTTTAATCTCAACAAGAAACCACAAAGTCACAAACAACAATTTTAAGCTAGGTTACTAGTTATGTTCCAATTCCCTCGGTCACATTTTTGTTTTGTTGGACATTCACCAAAGCTTCAATGATTTTCATTTACCATTTACATTTATGCTTGTGTGTATGTTAATGTTGATATATACTGTTGCTTAACTTCGAATGTCATCTATTAAGTCCCTCTGACTTGTTCTAGTCAGACTTCTTATATGCATGCATGGTTGCAATATTAGTCATGTTAACTACATCGGAAGAATAAAAAAGATGAATACCATAAACGGTGAAGAGAGAGAGAGAGAGAGAATGACTAGAAATGATATTTCGTTAACTGTATAAATTACAATTACAACAACACTAGCTCATATAAACCTCACCACAGCACCCACTTTAAAGTTAACTAGCTAAGAGCTAATTAACGGATTTGGATCCCATCCGGATCCAAATTGTGGGAATCTTAGGGATCCTCACATCTTAGACATTGGATCCCCACAAAGTGGATCCGGAGAGGATCCTCTTCCCTAATTAACAAACCATATTACTGACTAATGCTGAGGTGGACCGGTGATATGGCATATACTTACACTTACATTTGGGTTCTAGTTTTTTTAGATGGGCATCTCTTAGTCTTACTCTTCAAGGAAAAAGGAAGGATGATCGCACTTCTTTTTGTCGATGGCACTAACCAAATCGTTCTGTTTCTTGATCACTTCATCAGCATTTCCTTCATGGATTTAGGGACCTGGTCAGGCATACCGTACGTGTTGAGAGTTACAGTAAACGCATTTGGGGTGAACTCTACAAAAGTAATGTACACTTCAAATGTTGTAATCCAGGTTGGTTTTCCACCTAGAGAAGCATTTGAAAGTATTAAGTATACAAGTCAGCAATACAGTTAGCAATACAGTTAGTGAGTTGGTTAGTATTTGGTTAGAGTAGTTAGGCTTTTTCTTATAAAAATAGTTGTGTAACCTTCATTCTATCGGTCAATACAAAAGCATATTTCTCTCTCAAACTCTCTGTGTTCATCTTTCTTCTTGATTTTCTCTTCAATTCCCACATATTGTAATGTAGTTAACATGGTATCAAAGCCACCAGGCTCACACCATGTATTCTAGTGGTTTCTCTTTGTAGTAGTTTATATTTTTTTTTTCCTAGTTTAGTTTCTCTTCAAATTTCCATTAGATTTTTGGTGCTTCCTCGAGCTTGGGTTAATTTTTCTGTGATTGTTGGGTTAATTGTTCTGGTTTGAAGATTTCACCACCGACGCCTTCACCACCTCCAAGAACTGACGATCTCCACCGCCGTCCATCTTCTGGGTACCCATTCGATGCGATGAAGAAGAGGCATATCAGAAAACTTTCATGATTTTGTATGGTTTGTTGGAAATCAGGGAATGAATCTCTGCATATTATTGGTTCTTTCCCCTTGTTCCAAATGAGAAGGTTCTTCCATTGCGGCTTGCTGCGCTTCGATACAAAAGAATCCCTAATCTCCAGCTTTTCACAGATCGCGATCAGCTCCCTCGTCTCCTCCAGGGCCAACTGCCCTGCTCCGGATTTGGTGTTTTGTCAGAATTGGAGTTTTCCTCAGAATGTGGTGCTGTTTCCCCAAACTCTTATGCTTCTTGTTCGCTGTAGTCCAGGTGTTTGACGAATTGCCCAGTTTAGAATTTTCATGTGAAGGTTAAGTTTTTCAGCCACTTCTTCTAAATTTCTTACGATGATTCTTCAATATTCTGTAAATCAATTAGTTTGTGGTTGTGGGCATGGAGTTATTCAGTTGATATATTGAGTTTAAAAAGCTCAGAGCCGTCTTTCTTATGAATCTTTTCTGGGTTCTTCCAGTTGTTTGTGATATTTGCTTTCATGATTCTTCATTTCAAGATCAATGTTTGTGATATTTGGGATATTTGGATTCAAGAATATTGGTCATTGCTAGATTGTGCAATTTGTATGATGGTGTATAGTTCTTTCTCTGCTTCACTGGTATTCTGCAAGTTTATTTGGTTTGATCTTCCTGCAACTCTTGATATATTTGGAGAAATGGGTGTGAATTCTTGCATTATGGCATGTATAATTTTGTGGTTGTTCGGATTATGGTTTGTGCCAAAAATGAGAAGTGTAATGTTTGAGAAGATTGTTTAAGTGCTTATTGAGGAATTTATGCAGTATGTTTTCCTATCGCATCCTATAATGTTGAGTCTAACCAACTCAGTTGTTAGCATGTATCTACAGTAAGTCCGGTTATACGATGAAGTTTGAAGAAGTTGTTAACGGTAAATCCCACGAAGGGTAATTCCGTGATGTGAATAGGTAAATCCCACGAAGGGTAGAAGAAGTTGTTAACGGTAAATCTCACGAAGGGTAATTCTATGATGTGAGTAGGTAAATCCCATGAAAGGTAATCCTACATAGATGTTGATTTTTTGTTGTTGAAATTGTGAAGGCCGATGCCATTGTTAAGAGTAGTTGTTTTTCGGCAAAAGCCACAAAGGGAGATCCCATGGTACTATAGTTAAGGCCAATGCCACACTATAGTTTGTTACTTTTCTATTTTAAAGGCCAATGACAATGTTAAATGAAGTTGTTGACAGTAAATCCCACGAAGGGTAATCCCACAAGAAATTGTTATAACCGGCATGAGGGTGTGTTACAACTTTATAAGAGGTTGTTCATTGATTGAAGCTCCTGCGAGAAGCAGTGGAATATTGGATGTTTTGGATGGGAATATTGGATTTTTTATATGAGCAAGTAGCATTTGTGCATTTTATCAACCAATGTTATCAGTGAGTAGAACTTCGTGGGTTTGGTTTGTCGTGGTGAGAATTCAAATGGGTTGCTAAATTTGGAGGGAATGATGGCTATTGAAAGGCTTGATTTGCAGGGGATTGTAAAATTCTCCATTGCTGAAAGCTCGATGCTTGAAGGATTGGGTTTTTCTGGGCGCTATTTGTTTTAGTTCATGGCTAAAAGATGAGATGGAAATCACGGATAGAAGATTGCAGAGTTTGTTGTGTCTGTTGGAGGATCAGGTTGCTGTTTGTTGTGTTGTGTCTGTTGGGGTTTGACTTCTGGGAGACTGCAGTTGAGAAGAAACGGAAGAGCAAATACAAGCTCAAATTGCTACAATCTCAGGGCAACAAAACCTTTTTCAATCAGAAAACATCACCAAAGTCAAACTGGAACAAGAACACTTTGCAGTGCGTCCATTTGTCTTCAATGTTTGCTATTTGAGACTTTGTTGCAATCTCAAATGGGATACCCCAGTTGAGATTGAGGAGGAGTATTAAGTATACAAGTCAGCAATACAGTTAGAAATACAATTAGCAATACAGTTAGTAAGTTGGTTAGTATTTGGTTAGAGTAGTTAGGCTTTCTCTTAAAAAAACAGCTATGTAACCTTCATTCTATTGGTTAATACAAAAGCATATTTCTCTCTCTAAATCTCTCTCTCTCTCTCTCTCTAATTAAATCATATCAAATCCCTAATTAAAGCATATGGCAAGGTAATCTCATGCATGGTAGTCCCATTCATGTGTGTCATACATGGGCATAAGCCTAATCCCATTCATGATTCAGTGTCTCATTTGTAATCCATGTTACCGTGAGTTTATATATGATATTATATATGTTTTAGCTTTTATTTTTGTATTAGAAATAGAGGATAAATAGACGTGGAGGATGGATGGAAACTTGGAAAGACCATAAGAGAGATATAGAAGAAAATGAATAAGAAAAGATGCACAAAATTAAAAAATAACAAACTATTTAAGAAATTTGGGTTTCAATAATTTATTTTTATGCTTATCACTCTTCTTTCTTTCATATACTTTCCTCATATCTCAAGTACGATAATTAAAACTAAAAAAAAAACCCTATATTGTTTTTAAACATTTTCCTTTGTTTTGAGTTTGATCACATATATGACTTTACAAATTAGAGCACACGCTTAAAATAAATAAATAAATAATAATAATAATAATAAACTTCCCTTCATGATCGAGGTCTTGGATTTAGGCCAATGTTGCAAACTAGACAAAAGAAATTTGAATATTTGTGGAAACTTATAACTTTAGTGGAAAAAAAATGTCATCCTGCATTCATGGTAATAGTTCAATTCTATCGCTACCCTTGTTTTCAAAAGTGAACCAAAATAACCAAATATTGAGTTTTAGCTAAGATTAAAAACGCCGAAAGCATTACGTACTATGGCCACCAAAAGTCAATTGAAAGGGGGGGGGGAAATTAGGAGTAGTGGGGATGGGTACATGGTCCCCTCGATACGACGAAAAACTTTAGGCAAAATCTAGAAGAGGACGGGGGGGCCAATGCCCCCTAATTGTTCAAACTTGATATTAAAGGGAGGAGTAACGTTAGGGAGACTAAAATTTTAAATTAAATTTGTAAATCAAATAATGTGTCACTTATAGGAAATAAACACATTAATTAATATTTAAGTAACAATCAAATCATCAATAACCACATCATTTAGTTTGCAAAATTTAGTCTCTCTAACATTACCCATTTTAATAAATATCACACTATCAATATATCAAATAATCACACATTGTTACTAAAAAAGTTACAACACATACAACATGACAATAATTAATTAGCTTAAAATACCTTAGTATTAGTATCTAAGTGCAAATAAGCTTCACTCCTCCTAGAGCCTAAATTAGTTGGTGGAAGGTCCAATTGCCTCCATCAATCAATCCAAACACCATCACCAAAGATCGTCTTTTAGCAATTAGCACCATGCACACACATAACACATAAAAGATTGGGAAGCACATTTTTACGCACACAATTTGATATATTTTTTTGTGGTTATCAATTCTTTTTAAGTATCCAAACCATCTATATTTCAATGTCTCATTTATAGATCATCTATTCAAAAAAAGTAAATAAATAAAAAATTATTAAGACATTCATTTGTAGTGAAGAGAAATTGAACGTGTATGGTTCTACAAAGAAATACTAAAATGACTGTCATTTTAATTCAACGGTAATATTTTTGGATTTGGGGGATTTTGGTATAGTTGGTCTTTGAGGACATTTCTAATGGGAAAATGAAAATTTACATCCCATTTGAGGACATTTCCAATGGGAAAATGAAAATCTAAGATGCTATTTACATCCATTTTACATTTCCTATAGATGTGAATGAAAATTGTACTCCAATGAGAGAATGTTTATTTGAGATCTCATTAAATTTTCTCTCTTTAATTAGTGGGACTCATTATCAAAAGATGTAAAAAAGAATGTAAATTTAGATTTTTATTTACACATCTTCCGTGCGAAGATGGTTAATTTACATTTTGCATTTAGAAAAATTTCCGACAAAGAAAAGTTATAAATGCTCATTTCAAGACATTTTGCATCTCTCGTTTAAGATGCCCTAAAGTGTGCCCTAAAAAGTGTATCAAAATGTGTGTTAGAAAATATAAATATACATATCCGTCAATTAGAGTTCTTATTTGCACTACCTTTACAGTAAAGATATTGCCAGGGAAATCAAATTTTTAAACAAAATTTACAAACCAAATGATGTATCAGCAATAAGAAATAAGCACGTTAATCAACATTTAAATAATAATTCAATCATCAGCAATCACATCATTTAGTTTACAAAATTTGGTTCAAAAATTTAGTCTCCCTAATATTACTTATTTAAAGGTGTAGGTTATTAGTTCTCCAAGCTAGATATACCAAGATAATAGTGTTAAACATCATATTTTTAGCGGATATACATGTTAGACAAGCACTAAGGCCCAAAAGCTTAACATAAAAGATAATGAATCAACAATGTATATCAAGTTAACACCCGTATTCTCCGGATATTGGAAATGAGACTCTACCAAATTGAGACATCCAGATCTTAGACCCAAACTAAAGACCCGAGACTCCATTCCCCGGACCTTGGAAATGAGACCTTACCAAATTGATTCCATTTCTCAATCCTATTGTCCTGACAATAATCTCATATATATCACCTTGTAGTTGGTATATAATTAATGCCTAATTGTAATATCAAGTTATCAACCTAACAAAATGATGTGAAATCTTGCATCGTCAATTTCCAGTATAAGTTGTACATGTGGTTCATGCACATATATAAGATTCAATAACCAACCAAGAAATGTCTGTGCAATATTTGACGTGAAAGCCAAAGCCAAACCAATAGCTGAATGCCACGATAGAAGTTTCATGTCGTACGTCGAGACTAAAGATTACCCTACGAGTAATTACCACCAACTTCTTGACAGGCCAACAATGACTTATCACACAAAACCGAAGTTTGTATTTGAGTTATACTCCGACGTATACAAATCAACTATCTTATCTAAATTTTCTTTTTCGCCAACTGAAATTAAAAAGGATAATATTATTAATAATAATCGCTAAATAAAATTGAGACCATTTTTGTGGATTTTTCTTGATTGACAACCACATGTGTCCTTGTCCCTGGATGATCACTTTAATATTTTAGAAGGTGGCAAAATATAAGGATATGTTATTGTAGAGCAAAAAATAATCACAAAGTGACACGTGGATTTTGGGTGAAGATGACAAATTTACCCTCGAGGCATACCGGGTTTCCTACATGAGAGCAGTAGAGAATCATCCACAACCAAATCAGGAGTACCCAAAATAGGTAACAAGTTCAAATTAGTCTCATCCATCCTCATTCCATAACCTCCAAAAACTTCCCAAAACATTTATTTTATTATGATAATTAGCCAATTGATATATTTATACCTAATTAATATATTAATTGCTAATTGAATTACCAAATAACACCCCAAAACACACCCCATTCCCTATATATATGACCCTATTTCTTCTAAAAAGCTAAGTCTAAAACTCTTGCAAAAACTCCCAAAAACTCTCCAAATATTTTTCTCTCTAAATTCTAACTTTGGCATCGGAGGTTCTTGGGCCAAAGCTCCCCCCCCCAATTCATCGTGGGCGCGTGAGGCTCTTGGCCTTGACCTAAGGTGTTAATTGTTTTGTAGGTGCAATTTTGTCTAAGAAGAAGAAGGCAGAAATTTACATCCACAAAATGGTGATTTCATTGAGAGTTGAAATCCATACTCGTAGAAGACTCTCGCATAAAAAGGTTTTTCTTTATTTTCTAGTCAGTTTGAATATTTTTCATACGTTCTTATTATTAGAATTTTTTATTTGCAAATGTTCTTTGATAAAACGTATAAGAAAAATATAATGGCTACAAATTTAGAAAATTTCATAAGTGAAAATTCCAATACTCAAGAAATGGGATCGCGAAGATCCATGAGGCAAAATGCAGTCGTAAGCAGAGTGACACCACCACTATAAGATTCCACCATGGCCCAAGCCATGCCATCCAAGCTTGCACGGGCCCGAGCCCAAGCCTCGCATTCGCATGCACCACGCATTGAGCAGCCTGCTCTCGCAACCCAGCCTGTTCCCGCCGAGCAACCCACTCCTGTGGCCTAGCCTACTCCCGTGGCCTAGCCTGCTCTCACTAGGCATCCCACTCCAGTGGCCCAGCTTACTCCCGCAGCCCAGCCTGCCCCCGTGGCCTCCCAAACAGCCTAAGTCAGCTCATGACTATCTCAATCTTCTGGACCTACCATCAAGTCGAGGGCATTTTCACCACATTTCTCCGTGGATTTGACATTTCCCAACTTAAATCTCGCGCCCAGAGCCTACCACACTTCCATTACTTAAAGAGGCACATTCCTTCAAAGCTCTTCCAATCTAAATGGCGAACAACACTTGTCTCGACAAGTCATAGAGTTGACGAGCGTCCTTGCACAACAGACAACCTTAGTGAACCAGCTTTTGCAGCGCACCAAGATGCAATGTGCCCCAAACGAGGTGTCCCAAAGTAGGACAAGGGCATATAAAAAACCTTTCCAGCAGTATCCCGACAAGCAACCACTCGACCATCCACAAACTGAGCGTTTTGGGCAGCGTACACTTCCGATTGGGCCCTCGAGATAGCGTATACTCTCGTCTTAGCGCACGGAGGAGCGTGTACTATCGACTAGGCCCACGGACCAGCATACACTCACGGTTGAGGACGCACTCCGATAATTAACATGAGCAGCCTTTCAAGTGAAGTATTCATTCGCGGCTAGACCCGTAAGAAGTATCTTCCACATCACATCGGAGCAAGCAGCACAGCAGACGGAAAGAAGCAGTCACTTAATCCGGCTCAAGTTCAACCAGCAGCCTGTGAGTTACATGCTTGCCTGCTAGGAACATACCACATCCACCGCAGTTGCGGCATAGACGAGCCGAACATATGGAAGAACAACTTAGACCAGCATAACACGATCGGGGGCAGTCGAGAGCTCTGCCACCCCAACAAAAGAAAATTCAGGAAGAAGTAGAAAGGTTCCTGACCAAGCAATTGCACAATTTCTCGGGCCAACCAAGCCTCAAAAGGGCAT